AAGCATTTCATTTCAGACGCTGACTCCCATGAAATTGATTGTTCGTCACCGCCTGATGCCGGAAGATGCAGAGGATTATTTAAGCATTTCTATTATGATGCTGGCAACAAAGAATGCAAAGAATTTATATATGGTGGGTGTGGAGGCAACCGAAACAACTACAACACCAAAGAGGAATGCGAGTCAAAGTGCCATTCTTGAAGAATGCGACTAATTATTTATAAATTTATTTTTTGGGTTGCTTTGATTTTTGGAAATGGCTTAATTGCACAATAAATTTGTATAAACAGAAAATTTTTTTCACGTTGACTATGAGACTGCTTAGGAAGCTTCAGAATCGAATGGTCAGTGGTCTTTGAACCTCACTAACTTGACCTTTTCAGCGACCTCAATTGTGACTGTGGGGCGTAGTTATCTGTGTTCTGTCACCCTTCAGACGATGGTTTCTCCAGTGATGGACAATTCGGTCATTTTCCGACTTGTTTCTGTGAGCACGTAGTCGATTTGGTTGAAGGTCGTTCTATTATGGCTTCTGCACATCTACTGCCATCTTCTGCACTTCTCACTGTCTGTTTCAAACATAGTGTTCATAATGGGAAGGTGGTTACTCTCAGCAAACGCCATGATGTCGGAGCCAAGTTCAGTTCGCTCTCCACTTCCAAACCGGCCAATGAAACTCACTGAGTTGGTTGTTTCCTTTCCTCCTGGAGATATCTTCAAAATCTCCTTCGACACTTGAGTAGACGTCTTTTGCATTGCGCTTTTCAGAACTGCGCCTCCTCTTCACCGCTTGCTTGCTGTGCTGCGCTGTAAAGGTCGATTATCCGTTGTGATCTTCGCATGTCTACGCGCAGAATTGGCACGGCGACACGAGGTAAAATGAGGTCACAGTTGACAACGAGTTATCCGTCCCTCTTCTTCTTTACGATGAATCCTACACCGCCTGTCTGAGCCTGATTTTCGTACGCTTTCTCGAGTAATACTTCTTCACAGTGGTTCCACTGTGCGGTAGGTTTAACGAATCTTTGGGTTTTGCATACGGCGCGAACATCAGCCTTGATCATCGTCACCTCCTTGATCTAGAGGTCGACGAGTGTGTCTTACGAATATCATGGCCATCCACGAATATCTTGATGATATCCTTACTCCATATTGCTCGCCGGGTCGCAGATGATCCCAGTCTTTGGCTAGCCGACGTGGTAGCCTATGCTTAAAGCTCCGGTATTCTTCCGTGCGTAACGTATTTTGGGGGAGGGGGGGCTCGTAGGCAGTTCGTTCAGCGTTCCAACCTTCTTTTTTTATCAGTCTTAGTCCCGTACATCCTTCACCCAACCGATCGAGGTCCAATACAGAGGCACTGAGTGAGTTCCTCGTCGCGGTAGGGTTCAGCGATCAGTGTTGGTCCTCACCCTATTAGTGAAGACAAGTCACGAAGAGGGCTAAATAACTAGACATCGTAACGAATTATTTCTGTTTCCTCCAGTCACAGGTGACCTCGATCAGTGAAGAGATTAAACGAAAGCAATTGACCCTGTTAGACAAACTAGTTGAGCAGGAATTATTTCCTCCAGCCGGTAAGCGTCCCATGTGAAAACCGAAACAAGGCGGATGTCGTTCAGGAACTTAACATGAAGTATGGAGGAACAAGAAAGATGCTGTCTGCTTTCGTAGAGAAGTACTTTCTTCAACGATGCTGTAATCGTTGCCTTATGGCAAAAGCGTCAAAGGCTGCAAGCATAACAGCGGACTCACAAGCCCAGACAGATTCTGGTTATGCAAACAGCTCGGGTGGGGGGGGGGCTATTTCTACGAACCAAGATGTATACATTGAATTTAGCGTCGCTTTTGCAGAGTCATTTATGGCAATTGAATTCGAATTCTGGACATTCAGATTAAGATGAAGTCTGATGGCTGAAATTAGGCTGCGTCTAACGAAAATGATTCGGCAACGGATTTGCAGATTGATGTATTTGAATTGCTACTGCATCATGTCAACAGGTAAATGATGTTGATAAACATACGAGGAGCAAAATATTTACTTTACTTAAACTGACTAATACATCAGAGTGAAAATATTTGCATACATTAAGCGTTTACAAAATGAGACCCATACCTCACTGTGAGCAAGTTTTCCATTGTGTAAATGCCTACGCTAAGCATGGCTCTACCAATGACTTGCTGCATCGTGTGCGCTTTCGTATCAACGGTAATTTCCGGCAAGGCGACGAGATCAGTCGAATTTTTTCAGCCTCAAAATTTTCCTCAAACAGGCTATTACCCGATTGGCTTGCCTCCATGGATGCCTGGACCCGACATTCCTCCATCTATGACTGGAGGCAGTGGAGCAGTGGGCTACTGCTTTAACGGTGCCCCTGCGGTTGCGCGTTGTTTCGAGGACTTGAGTTGTGGACGTAACTTCTACTGCGACAAAACCCAGAGGTTATGTTGCCCTTCTGGCGAGTTCCAAGAAACTCAGCTATGTTCGCCTCAGCAACGGATGAAATGCTCGGATGGCAACGACGCCGATTCGTGCTGCTACAACAACCTATGTTCCCCCGGCTTCTTGTGCACCAAAGGAAACTTCTGCTGCAAGCAGGGGACAGCTGCAAGTAGGCGTTTTATTTGTTGCCTCTTTTCAGTGAAATATTGGAAACACGCTTGCAATTTAGGTTGTAACTTCGAGTCACTTCCTTTGGGACCATGTGTACTCGGCGATCAATGTCCGACAGACTTTTACTGTTCGCAGAGCAAGTATTGTTGTAGGTCAAAGTACCCCATCTGGACTCGCTGAAGACATGACTACCATTTTGTTGGTTCGATGTCTCCATTATGACTTTATATCGTAGAGCTTCTGTTTAAATTCTTGGTGCATTAAAGTCAAAGTGCTTTTTGAGGTTAAATATTTACTGGCGTTGCTGCAGAAATCTGCAGTCTCTAAAAGACAAAAGAGTAACAATGCAGTTAGGGGAGAAAAAACTGTTTGTATAAGTGAGTCGTTTACAGTATAATGAGGGCGCAAACATCGGTCTTCAGGTTGTATTCATGACAATTAATCCGTAAAAAAATAAACTTCAAATCGAGTTTTCAAAATCATTTTTCATCTGAAACTTTTGTTTCTCCGTTTCTTTCAAGGTTCCATATGAGTTGCGTTTATTATTTCTATGGCTGAAACAAATTTCTAACTTAAGATTTAATTTCGTCTATTCTAAATTTTATTAAAACTTCGCAATTCATTAATGTTATAAAATCGTCAATATCCATGACAGATCAATCATTAAAAACGTTCTATATCCCATGAATGATCAGTGGACGAAACAGTAATTTCAAAACGATGAAAGTTGTACCAATTATCTGAGGCAAAGGATAATCCGGTCGCAACCGCGTGGAAAGATCAGCCGCCTCTCCCTGTGTTTATGTCCAAAGAGGGCATGCGGAAACTCCATGCTGTTTTAGTTTGCAGGAAAGACCAAGTTTGGAATTCCTACCAGTAGAAAGTTTGTTTTTTGGCTTTATGACATTTTGCCTTTCGGCCAGAAAGCTGTTTCATTGTGATGTACTGTATGTGTGCTTCAGGAAGTCGGTAGCAGTAGACACATAACGCCTTAGTACGTTTCCGTCATATCAATCGTTGCTCTGGGAAGTTCTCTTCTAAAAGACCCAGCTCAGTCGCTCTACCATTTTTTCCAGTAGTGCCTTTGGAAGCTGCCAAGCACAACATCCGTGTACTGTACTTTCCTTACAGGTGCCGGCCAACTGTTATGGACGGTCAGTCGTTC